CCTCTTGGGGGCAAGGTTCATGGGTCACGTGTTACTCTTATATCCTCCTCCGCCTAGAATAGGTGAGTAGGCACCTGTTCATTTGAGTGGATGAAAGAGATTTGTATTTTAGAGAATGTTACTTTCATTGACATTATGTTCTGGGAAGTATAGCTACTTGGGGATTATACAGATTAACTCTTAGTTTGTGACTAATATAAACTCTTTTCCACTTTCTTTAAACCGTTGACTTCTTATGGCTTATTTCCTAGAAGGTGTATAGGGGCTAAGAGAAGCAAAACACTGCTTGGTTTAATTCTGGGGAAAAGTTAGTTAAAGGAGGATTTGGGGCTCACTAGGGATTTAATTATGCTTGAAAACTTTATACTAGCTACTATAATGTAGTTATAGTTGAGAATTACCTTCCCAGGCGGTAGGAGCCTTAGGAAGAGAGACTGGGAAGTGTTTTGCTTTTATAAAACATACTGGTCAAAGCTTGGGCATTGTACTCAGATGCACCAGTGTTCTTGGATATGTTTCCCAAGAATTTTGGGGCTTTATTTCCTCATCTGTAAAATGGGGATAATAGGCACTGTTAGGCACTAAAAGGTGGTTATGATGAGCTAATCGATACAAGCCAAGTCCTTGGCTTAGTTTCAGACACACAGTACATGTTAAATAAATATTAGCTATGATGATATTACATATTACTTTTACTTAAAGCATCGTTAAACGTCTTTAACTGGAGAGTCATTAGTTATTGAGCCAGATTTGAGCGAATGCTTCCTGACACCTAATACTAACCTGTCTAGGCTGCACAAAGGTAGGCCAGGGGCCGAGATGGGGGGAAAGGTCCCGCACAGGTCAGAGTTTCGGAATTTTGTTCCAGCTCCCAGCTTCACCAGCCTGGGTAGGTTTGGCCAACGGGTGTAACACCTCTGGGCTTGGTGTCCTCGCTGCCGGTGCGATGGCAGCGCTTCCCCTGCATTCCTGGCAGTTACTGGGAGGAGCTGTGCACTCCTGGGGTTGAAAGTGCTAACATACTGTGCCTCTTCGAGGATTTGGTTTTGCTCTAGGTCTCATTTTGCTGCAGCCATGACCTAATTCCAACCACAATTTTGTTGTTTTATTCATTTGCACCTATCCTATATAATCCTACATAATAAAAGGCTAATATGCAAATCGACTGAATGGCAGAACAACCGGTCGCTATGACATGCACTGACCACCATGGGGCAGACACTCAATGCAGGAGCTGCCCCCTGGTGGTCAGTGTGCTCTCACAGGGGGAGCACTGCTCAGCCAGAAGCCGGGCTCACGGCTGGCAAGTGCAGCTGTGGTGGTGGGAGCCTCTCCTGCCTCTGTGGTAGCGCTAAGGATGTCCGACTGTTGGACATCCCCCGAGGTATCCCGGACTGCTAGAGGGCACAGGCCAGGTTGAGGGACCCCCCCCACCTCCGAGTGCACAAATTTCGTGCACCAGGCCTCTAGTTTTTATATAATCCACATTTTTTCCCCAATAAACATGCAAAAATACCCTCATTTTATATTACCCCCTTGAAGTCTTAAGCCTGTTCTTTAAATCCTATTGTAGCTCAGAGATTTTACTGTTCCAAGATGCAGGGTCCTCACCGTCTTCCCCCTGCTCCCCCTCACCTTCTACTAAGGGAACGGTGTAATAAGGTGGGGCCTGGAAGCTGATGGGCATGAAGTTATACCTAGTCATAATGATTGAGTCCTGATCAAAATTAAGGCGTTTTAAGTGCTATTAAGTAAATGTCCAAGCCCCCTTCCCTGCTGATCTCTAGTCCCTAAATCACACTGTGAGCATTTGGAATGGGTGCTGTCTTTCCAGGGCTGCTATGGTTCTCCTTATAACAAACCACATGGGAAAAGCAGAAAGGATCTAGCATTCATGGACCAGCAAGGGCCCTGTAGGGTCTGCTTCCTCCACCTGCTGTACAAGGCGACAGGGGGGCTCCGTGTGGGTGGGCTCCTCCTCTCGGATCCAAGCCTATCTCCCATCCCCCTTAACTGGAAGGTGTTTGGTGCAGAAAGCTGGCCGTCTGCCCCGACACTTCACTAATCTTGTCTTGGACACCACTTGCTGTCGTCTGCTTCATGGAGGGAAGAAAGGTTTTATACAGAGGTTTCTGGGTCTCAGCAGCAGGTCTAATATCTGAGCAGATGTGTACATGCCTGGAAATAGAGATAAGCAGCTGCAGAAAGGGGATTATGAAAGTGCCAGTTAAGAGAAAAATGCGCTTTTGTCATCGAGGACACAGGAGTGGGTCTTAAGCAGAAATATTTTGTAAAATAAGAATGGCTCACTTTCAACCCATGTTCTTATAATTATTGTAATATTGAAAGACATAGTGACTGCATTATAAAAGGTTCAAACTGAGAATAAAAAAGATGTAACGGTTGGCTTGCTCTTTTATGCATTTCATCAGAACCATATATTAGTCTTTTTTAGTTTCTTGAGGCCTTAACCAGTTTCGGTTCACCTCTACTCTTGATCTTTTGAGCAGTTTAGGATTAAAAAAACAAGAAGATTTAGGTTTGAAAACGAGAATACATGTATTTCCTAAGATCACGGAGCTGGGAAATACTGTATGTATACCAGGAAAGCTCACCAGTGTAAAATCTTGAGTTAGGGAGGCTTCCAAAAATCCGTGGGTTCCCACTAACTTGGGCAGAGAAGGGAAAGAGTAAGCACTCCGTCTGCACCTTTTCATTTCTTCCTCAGTTTACTTTTTCTAAGCTGTGGAAGCAGTTGGGATTTTGAGGTGAGGTGGTGGGGAGTGAGGGAAGACATGGTACCTGGCAAGTACATGGTCTTTGAAGTCATAATGGCCTAGGGTCAAGGGCATCCTTTTCTGATTTATCAGCTGTGTGACCTTGAGGAACTTAAGTAACCTCTCTGGGCTTTAGTATCTGCATTTGTAAAATAGCCTTCATAGGATTTTTGGGTTGATTAAATGAGAAAAAAAAGATTTTCAACATTCCTAAGTGCAGATAACACCATTATTGTTTTCTTCCTGCCTTCTCATTTACCCATCAAAGATTCTGATTCAGTGGATGAGAAAAACTATTTTTAGTGGGCATCAAATAGAGTGCTGATGGTTCTCAGACCACACCTGAAGAAGTGATGTTCTTAAAGCACGAGTAGGACTTTGGGCATCAAGGGAGAGGCAGGGCTGTCACTTGCATGCACACACAACTTCAGGGGGTACCCCAACATCATAGTACATGTCCATGGAGCACCCAGAGTTGGGGTGCATGACCTGCAAGGCCGCAGGCAGTGGCCCTGTGGGGCTTCACAGAGAGGTGTGTGTGAGAGAGTGTGGGCTATGCAGGGTGTGCTTGGGACACTGAAGATCTTTCACTCGGAGGGAGCAGGCAGGGTGGAGACAGGGCATGTGGAGGTCCTTCGTGCCATGCCAACGAACTTAGGAAGCGGTGAGGGGCCACAGACGGGTATAAGCAAAGCCAGGATTATAACATGCTGATGGTCACCTGAGGGATGAGCCAAGGGAGAGACTGCAGGCAGACATGATCATTAGGAGGATCTTATCATCAACCAACCAGGTGAGAGCCAATGAGAGAGGGAGGGAGAAAGAGGGCTTGAACGGAGGCAGAAACAGTGTATGTGGGCGGGGGGCAGATAGGAGGAGGCTCAGTGACCCCCAGGTACCAGGCACCTGGAACTCAGAGAAGAGGCCTGAGAAGGAAGTGAAGATTTGGGATCTGAAGCCTTGGCGTGAAGGTGAGCTCCGAGGCAGTGAGGAGCGGTAAGAGGAGGTGCACAATGTGATTTTTGGGTCACATCAGTCCCCAGGAGGCTGGAGCCGACTGAGCCAGGAGATGAGAGAGGAGAGGCCCCTGAAACAGGGGAGGTGGGAGCAGACCAGGTGAGGGGTCTGGAAGCCTTGGGGAGGAGCCTGCTACCTGCTTCATCTAAAGAGAATGAGGTCACCAAGCCCACTCGGTCTGCCGGGCAGTGGTCATTGGTGGCTCCAGCAAGAGTGGTTTCGCTCACACGGGAGAGAATGGAGAGTGGGAATGTGGAAACCCAGTTCTTTTGTGAATTGGCTGGAGAAGGGCAGAGAAGTTCAGGCAGTGGTGAGGATGGCATTGACACGCACTGACCATCAGGGGGCAGACGCTCAATGCAGGAGCTGCCCCCTGGTGGTCATTGTGCTCCACAGGGGGAGCGCCACTCACCCAGAAGCTGGGCTCATTGCTGTTGGACATCCCTTGAGGGCTCCTGGACTGCTAGAGGGCACAAGCCACGCTGAGGGACCCACCTCCCCCTCCGCTGAGTGCACAAATTTCAATGCACCGGGCCTCTAGTTTTAATATAATTCACATGCAATAAATACCCTCATTTTATAATACCCCCTGAAGTCTTAAGCCTGTTCTTGAAATCCTATTGTAGCTCAGAGATTTTACTGTTCCATTGTGCAGGGTCCTCACCTTCTCCCCCCTGGAGAGCAGGGGGACCGGAAGAGGAGGAGGGCCCTGGAGAGCAGGGGATCCAGGAGAGGAGGGGACCTGGGCGAGCAGGGGGACTGGGAAAGGAGGGGGGCCCTGGAGAGGAGGGGACCCGGGAGAGCAGGGGGATCCAGGAGAGGAGGGGACCTGGGAGACCAGGGGTACCGAGAGAGGAGGGGACCTGGGAGACAGGGGGACCAGGAGAGGAGGGGACCTGGGCGAGCAGGGGGACTGGGAGAGGAGGGGGGCCCTGGAGAGGCTCTCAGAGGAGCCAGGTGAGGGCTGGAGGCCAGTGCAGGATGGGTAGTTAGGATTGGGTTACGGGAAACATGACCAAGGAAGGCCGATGGCTGGGCATGGACAGGGCTGTGCTGTGAACCTGGGAAGGTGTGCTGGCTCCGGGGGTGGACCGGGACAAGGAGTTCAAGGGCGCGCTGGGTAAGCCGCCTGTGTCCGTGCGGTTTGGAGTCAGGCCATGGAGACTGAGAGGGGCAGGAAGAGGCTTGAGCAGGGAGAGAGTTCTTTCGTCTGCAACATTTCTGGAGAAACATAATACAGTGGTCATTTTGAAGGTTTTCCTAATTATTGTGTATAAAATTAGTATCAGTCTATAAAACTATTTCTCTTTTCTTGTTTTAGTGATGATCGCAGTGTCTCTTCAGAAGAAAAAGGTATGGTACCTCTAAGTCAGTGTTATTGAAAAACTGTATGAAACATTTGCAGTTTTAGAAAATGATTTCTTTATTGATTTTACTTACTGGCTGCAATTGCTGTGTTACGTTCATGCATTCACTGACTTGTGGAAGTGTACTAAGATAATCATTAGGTTAGGATGATAGGATATGATTTTTCTTTAGAATTTTAAGATTATTTTTCAACTGATATTTAAAAGGGTGAAATGTAAAGAACTTGGGCCTTTGTAGCTTTTCACAAGTTGATGGTAGGACGTAAATGCTCTTATTATAATACCCCACTCCTTTTAAACTCTGGGTCTAATGTTCTTTTTAACGCAAGTTTAAATTCAATAACGTAAGTATTGGATGCAACTGGGAAGAATTGGCATTCAAGTTTAAATTCAATGACGAAGTAGTAGCCGCTGAATTCTATAAACTTTCCATACATAAAAACTAGGGGTTATCTGTAATACTTGAGTGTGATCCTCAGTTTTATACACTTAATGAAACAGCAACACGATTCTCTCCCCGATTCTGGGTCAAATCAGAACTCTCGAATTAAAGGACTAAACTAGGTCTGCTCCTGGGTTTGGTGGGACTGCTGAGGATCGAGTCCTCTCTCGACGTGAGCTGCGTGTTTTGAGTCTGTAAACCGTGTGCGGGGCTGTAGTTCTTGCTTTGGCCTCTGGCCCACGCTGCATGGCTGAGAGCCATTCTGGAGGAGGGTCCCGAGGCCGCTTGAGGTGTTAGTCTGTGTCACTCAACCTCGGACCAACTTGGAAGCTCCTTAGTCCATCCTTGGGCCCCTGTCTTACTTTTGCAAGTTCTGTATCCATCTTGTGGCTCATTTTTTCAGTGCAGAGCAATCACCTGCCTAATAAAAGTATCACGATTACAATCTGATAAAGGTTTGTGTAGCGTTTGGCTGGAGTGTGCAGTGCCTGGGGATGCCAGGCGTCTGTCAAGACTGTGGTCAGACCTGGCGGGCCTCCTGCTTCCCAGCGCTGACATGAACCGCCCGCCTGCATACACGCCACCCCCATCCCTCCCCCGACCCCAGCTCTGCTTTTGCCCGTTTCTGTCTGCCTGAGGTGCCTCCTCCCTCCCCTCACATTTCCCCAACAAGACTTGTGTCCGCTCACCCAGATTCATGAACTTGTGCTGAATCCCTCGTCTTCAGTGATTGGTCTCAGTTTCTCTCTTGGACCAACAAAACACTGGCCTAATTTCGTATAGTATTGTTGTGATTTCTTGCAGTGGTTTGTCCAATGCACAGCTACTCTGCCCTCATGGCCGCGTTAGCCCATCAGCTGTTTTCTGGGGCATGGATTTTCTCCTCATTTTTGCCGAGTGCCCACCGCGCAGTAGGCGCTAAGTCCATGTTTATAAAATTGAGGGGGACAGTAGTCTCGGCCCAAGCCCAAGGGATTAGTTAACCCATAGTTACTAGTAAGCCGCTGTGGTTCACCAGCCCAGTGTGGATGCCTGTTCGGGGTACAGGGGGCATGAAAGGCTGCTAGGTCCCATTCTCTGGGGCAGCCTAATTGAGCGTGGCACAAATACAGGCGCGGGCATGATAACTGAGGGGCAGTCCTTCCCTACACAGACATGTTCTGGCTTCATTTAACATTGGAGGTGACTTCTGCAACCCCCTTCTCCTCCATCATCTGCCATTTCTCCTTTCCCGCACCCACTCACCCTGGCCTCCGCTCTCGTCACTTCCTATCCGGATCTCTGCAGTGGCCTCCTAGGGTGAGGCTCGCGGGAGTCTGGTCCATCCTGAACATCAGTGTCCCCCAATAGCCACCGTCTCGGGGACCGCCAGGGCTAGTCTGAAGTTCTTATGTCGTCTGTGCCTCCATGGCATTCCCTGTAGAACCATCAGGGATGCCCGTTCTTCCCAGTGGCATTCAAGGCCTTCTGCGGTCTGGTCTCCGCTTATCCTGCCAACTCCAGAGCCTTAGCTTCAACCCATTTGTGTCATTTCACTAAGTCGTTGACAGTCCTTCTCCTGGGGACCAGCGTCTGCCTTTCAGTGACAAAATCTAAAACCAGGTGCTGTTTCTTTCTTTCTGGTGTCAAGTTACTTAATTGCCAGGAATGTTTTTAGGGAGCTGCTGAGCTGATCAGAGAAACAAATGCAGTTACTTTGGCACAAAGCTCAGAGTTTACCATGGAACCAACCAAGTGTAAATCTCACGTTTGTTGGCTTCCTGTTCTCTCTTTACTGGAAAAGGCTTAAGGTTTCTTGGACTATCTCTTTTTTCTCCTGAGACTATGACATCATTTGCATTAGTTTGCCGTGCAAGGTTGCTGTGGGTCTAAAGAGGTAATTCAGTTTGTAGTAGAGGGAGCTTCTACTATTATTGGCTTAGTGGCTTTTACAAAAAAAGAACATAATGTTTTATTTTATGCTTGTATTTACACATTTCTTTCTTTCTCAAAATTTAGATTGCCCTAGTTCCAACCTAGATACGTCAAAGGACTCTAAATCAGGTAAAGGATCTGACTAATATCGGTAAATGCCCAACTGAAATATACAATAACTAATTCATAGCAAGATAAATTACAGTTCATTTTTCTGATTCAATTCAAACAATCTGAGTGAAAGGTGGGGACTTCCATTTTTCAACCTGAGAGAGTTGAATAAATTTTAAACTTTTATGATTACCTGTTCTCGTGAAATCAGTTACTTTAAAGTTTGGTGATAAAGCTGTACTTAGTGGAACTGAGAATTTACCTAATGAGGCATTTAGGTCATTTTCAGACTGGCCACTTTAACTTAATACAGGGTCCCGAGGGAGTCCAGCCAGGTGGTGGGCACTTGGCTGGGGTAGCCCTGGGAGGCTTCCTGGAGGAGGTGATAAATTGGGGTAACAGGGCAAATGTGGGGAAGAGTTGTCCCAGTTCAAGAGACAGTGCTGCTTTCAGAGTCTGAAGGTCAGATGGCTGGAAAGAAGGCTGGGAGTGGGGAGTGGGTCCTGGGGCTCTAGTAGTTGGGGGTGGGTGGTGGAGAGGAGATGGGGGTGGACGGTGGAGAGAAGCCCAGAGGCAAGTGGAGGGCACTCAGAGAGGCTGGAGGAGAGTCAGGACAGGCTCCACGGGAAGTCATGTGGGCAAGAGGAAGTGGTTGGTGTCTTTCCCTGCAGATGCCATGGGCTTGGAGTTGAGCAGGCCTGTGGGTCATCGGGGAAAGGATCCCAAACTAGTTGTGGGAACAGAAGCCTAACTGCAGTGGGCGGAGGGGCTGAGTTGGGGGGTGAGGAAGTGACGGGAGCATTCTTGGGGCCCACTCCAGTAGTGTCAACAACGTGGACTAAATTTGTCCTGTGCTTCCGTGAAATGGCATCCACACTCCAGAATTCTGCACCATCCTCATTGAACGTGCGCCTGGGAACCTCCTAGATGTGCCAGTGCAGGGGCGAGATGGGCGCAGTAGGCAGGTCAAGGCCGGGCAGGACTCGGATGACACCCCTGTACAACGACTGCAGCCAGCCTGTGAGCTGAGCTCATGTTTAAACGGCTAACGTTTATTTTATCCATTTCCAAAGAAGCCTCAGCCCCCTTCGTGGTGGACTTGGGAAGTGACTAACAGGAGAAATCAGTTGAGTTTGGACCTGTTTTTTTTAACAGAATAGTTACAGTGGTGCCCGCTTCTTACTTGTTGTATTTGTGCTTCTGGCACGTGTTTTTATTAGGAGAGGACAGCAGCTCCGAGAGCAGTTCTGAAAGTGACTCCGGTAAGTGGGATGTGCATCTGTTTCTTTAATTTGGGCGAAGCACATGACCCTTTATTTTTATTTTTTTTATTTATTTTATTTTATTTTTTTATTTTTTTAAAAAATATATTTTATTGATTTTTCACAGAGAGGAAGGGAGAGAGATAGAGAGCTAGAAACATCGATGAGAAAGAAACATGCACATCTCCTACTGGGGATGTGCCCGCAACCCAGGTACATGCCCTTGACCGGAATCGAACCTGGGACCTTTCAGTCCGCAAGCCGACGCTCTATCCACTGAGCCAAACCGGTTTCGGCTTTATTTTTATTTTAAAGTCATACACGCACCTCTCATTGCTTCAGGACATATTAATTTCTAGCATGGTGGTTTTGTAAAGTACCAAAAAAGTACTTACATGGGAAATAATTCTAGTTGGCAAGCGAAGTAGCAAAACAGGATGAGCTGAAGAAGAAAGGCAGGAAATGGTTGCTATTGGTGAAAGGCAAACATTTTACCTATTCTCCCATGAGCCTGGGCTTTCTCTTAGCTGGCATCTGAAGCTGACTTAGGCTTTTTTTTTTTTTTTTGTAGATAATGAGGAGCCAAAAACAAGTAAGTACATCCTTCCTCTGAATTTTCACGTTTGTTGTTGAAAGGAAGACAAAGAAGGTTAGCCCTCGGGGTTTTTAAGCGGCAAATGGTTTGTTCATGATCTTCTTCTGTGCAAAACTGAGTTAGACATGAAGCACCTTCTAAGCATTTTGAACACGGGAGCTCGTGTTCTCTGCACGGGCACCGATTGGGGTTCTGCTCTCACGGTTTCCCCGAGGAGAGAAGAATCAGGCCGAACCCCATATGCAGTGTGGCCACAGCGGTGCCGGCTTCCTTCCTGGTGGTCTCTGCTCAGGGATGATCGCAGGGTAAACACGCTGCTGCCGAAAGCGGGGCGCCCCTTGTGGTCTGCAGTTCCTGGCTTGCTGTTCTGGCGCTTTGTGAGCAACTTGAGTCTGAAACCACTTTTAAGGACATAGATTCTAAATATAAAGTATGGTTTGCGTCTCCAGTTTGGTGAGTGACTAAGCTTGTATTTTCACTGATTTTATTTTATGAAGGGATTTTGTCCCCGTTCTGAGAATCTGATCTGCCCTTGACCACACACACTATCCCAGGCAGTCGGAGGGCTTCTTCGTAGCCCTTAAAATAAATAAGGTCTCTTCACTCAGAAGTCCTTCTGCACTTAATCTAATTCTCTCTGCAGTTTCCCAATGGGAATCTCCACAGGCAGGCAGTTGTAAGCTCTTTGCAGTCATGTTGTGTGTTGATAGAAACCTGTAATTATCTCCCTACGCTCGCTCGTGGAGTAGATGTCCATTCTGATATGCAAAAGGGAGAAATGTGAGCCAGCCCTCTGCCTCCCAGTCTTCTTTATACATTAATGGATTATTTAGTCAAAAGTTCGGCCTCCACCGATTGGCTTAGGGCAGGAATTAAAGTAGAAAGCTGCGTGTAGGATCACATCTTCGTGGTCTCTGGCTGCTAACTGGGTAAATGGCCATGGGGACCCAGGGTCCAGAGGCAGGACCTTTACGGTCCAGAAGCGAGGTCTGGGCCACGGCCGGCAAACCCGGTGGACGGCACATGGAGTCAGCGAAGCTCACGATAGGCTCAGAATTGGGTGGCGGGCTGGGTCAGTGCGGTCAGGCGGGGCAGGGCATGTGCGGGCAGGAGCGGCTGGCCCTGGCCCTGCTGGATTAGACACCGAAGTCTCTGGCAGTGAAGGTGCTCTAATGTCTTCTGTGGGCAGAGGGTGCTTGTCCCTAGAGCCCCAGGTTCATCCACAGGGCCCTGCCTTCCCCCAGGGTTACCCTTTTTTTGTGAAAAGGCCTCTTGTTCTCCACACGGGGGGAGAGAGGGGGCAGACACCCTCCCACTCACCTCCATTCTCAAGTCAGATGTAGGAGGAGGTGGGCCCCCCCTGGGATGCTTGCTCCTGTGTGGGCTGGCTGGCGCCATGGCCCATCCATCTTCCTTGTGATTGGATGTATCCCTTTTCCCAGGCTCTGCGATCATCCTTGTGTATAGAGCGAAGAGAAGCTGTGGCTCATAGGCTGGGGAGAATTGCACCAATTCCTCCACTTCGGCTGGGAAGACCTAGTCAAAGACAGGGTTTGCCTGCTGGTTTGGATTCTCTAAACTCTTTTCCTTTTTCTACTCCCAAGGCAAACAGCGAGACAGAAAAAACATGGGATGTGGATGAAATACAATGTGATGTATGCATTACGTAGTTTAGAATTAATGATCCTTTAAAGGACAGTGGCTGAGGAAATCTGATTGGCGGGTGTGTGGTGCAGGACTGGGTCAGTATTTCAGAACCTTTTCATCTATCGTATTCTGAGTTCAGGAATACTCGCAGTTTCCTTTTGCCATTCATTTTAGTGCTGTTTTTTGAAGTTGGTTCTCTCTTGCAACCCTGCTCCCTGGATACTGACTGCTCTGAGAGTCCCAGAGATGAGGCAGCTTGTGTAGCTACGGATGGAGCTCTGTCCTGCGGGAGGGCCGCACCTCTGGGCACTGTTGATGGCACAGGGCTTTACACCCGTGTTGAGGAGTGCCCGTGCCACCCCAGGGTGACCCTCCCAAAGGCTGTTCAGACATTTACAATATAAAACCAGGCATCTGACCCCAAGTGACAAGGTTGTTGTCTACTTTAGAATTCTTTTTTTTTTTAAATGTCTTTATTGATTTTAGAGAGAGAGGAAGGGAGAGGAATAGAGAGATAGAAACATCGATGAAAGGGAAACATAGATTGGCTGCCTCCTGCACGCACCCACTGGGGATTGAGTTGCAACCTGGGCATGTGCCCAGGTTCATGGGTTGATGCTCAAACACTAACTGACCGGTCTACTTTAGAATTCTTGAATTTTTTAATGATTCTTACCCATCACCATAGCGAAATAATAGTTAACAGGTAACACACATTGAGGAATTGCTGAGTTCGAGGCACAACCCCTAACTATAATTAATTTTCCTAACTTTGTGGGGTGGTATTATTTTAGTCCCTATTTAACAGATGAGGAAAGTGAGGCACGGAGATATTTAGTAACATGACAGCCCAAGCTCATGCAACCAGTGGCCAGTGTAGATAACAGGAAGATCCAGTGCTATTCCCTTTCATAGTACACTAGAGGTCCAGTGCATGAAATTTGTGCACTTGGGGGGGAGGGGCTCCCTCAGCCTGGATTGTGAGAGGGCGCAGGCCAGGCTGAAGGACCCCACTGGTGCACAATCGGGGTCCGGGAAGGATGCGGGAGGTTGGCCGGTGGGGAGGGACCGGGACCGCGGGAAGGGTCCAGGGTGTATCCAGCCCATCTCAGTCCCAATTGGCTGGAACCCAGCACCAAGCTAACCTATGGGTCAGAGCGTCTGCCCCCTGGTGGTCAGTGCATGTCATGGCGACTGGTTGACTGGTTGACTCTCTGCCCCCTGGTGGTCAGTGAACATCGTAGTGAGCGGTTGAGCAGCCTTAGCATATCATTAGCATATTATGCTTTGATTGGTTGAACGGACAACCGGACACTTAGAATATTAGGCTTTTATTATATAGGATTTTTGGTATTATGGAATTCTGGTCACGCAGGAAATAGGCATTGCACACTTACCAGGCCCTAGCGGTAACAGTTCTGAAGCTTACATTCTGGTGGGGAGAGAGCCAGGAAGCAGACACACTGAACTGCAGGTGCCAGGTCCAGGGGGTG